TTTAGGGCCAGCCTGGTCTACATAAGAAATTCCAGGCTAGTCAGGACTACAGTGAGACTCTGTTTCAGAAACAAGTGGGTATTAAATATATACAGACATTATTCTCTTCCTGCTTCCCTCTGAACAATCAATATACTTCAGCAGCTATCTATTAGCGCCTAGCATTGACATTGCATTAGTTAGTATGAGTGACCTGGCTATGTTTTAAGTTCATGGGAGGATATGTTAAGACAACCTATAGCCGGGCAGTGGTGGTACACACCTTTAATCCCAGCACTTGGGAGGCAGAGACAGGTGGATTTCTGAGTTCGAGGCCAGCCTGGTCTACAGAGTGAGTTCCAGGACAGCCAGGACTACACAGAGAAACCCTGTCTCGAAAAAAAAAAAAAAAAAAAAGACAACCTGCAAATACAACTCCACTGTCCGTAGGGACTTAAGTATCTGTGGATTATAACTAATAGGCTATGTCTCTGATGCTGGTGAAATGAGCCAATTCAAGCCAGACTAGATTACATTAAAGGCAGGTTTATTGGGAAGCTGCTCTTGGGTGAACGAGCTCACTGGCTCCAATGACCAAGGCCAGGGGAGTTGCCATGGGGAAAGGAGGGGGTCAGGAAGGAAGAAAGAGAGAAAGGGGAAGTGTATATGCAGAGAGAGAAGAGGAGGAGGAAGAAGAAAAGGAGGAGGAAGAGGGGGAGGAGAGGAAGAGAGAGGGAAAGAGGGGAGGAAAGGAAGAGAGGGAGAGAGAAGGGAAGTGGGAAGGGAGAGGGAGAAGGAGAGGAGAACGGAGAGAGGGGAGAGAAAGAAAAGAAGAGAGGAAGGGAGAAGAGGGGAGAGGAGAGAGGAGAGAGAGAGGAGAGAGAGAGGAGGGGGGGGGGAGAACACAAAGCAAATGTCTGGATTACATAAGGATATAACGAAGAGCTTCTGGGAGAAGGGCAGCTGAGCCCCTAGGTTGGGGGTAGGGTATGTCAGGCAGGCCTGAGGGATGCTGGGAGAACCAGGAGGCCAGGTTTGCTTTGTTATGTAAATATGCACCTCTGTTCCTGGGGGTGAGGCTCCACAACCAAAGGATAATATCCCTGGAACCCACCTCCAACCAGCTGTGCTTCTTCAACTCTGTGATGAGAATGAGTACCTAGCTTTTCAAGAATTCCTTTGGGAATCTGAAAGTGAAATTGTTGCTCAGACCCACTGGAATGGAGGCATGAGATGACTCTGACAGCGGGAGGGACAACTGGCACCTCAGAGGAGCAGCGAGCACTCTAGCACTTAGGAGACACCAGTGGATCAGAATTCAAGTCAGTCCCCACTCATAGAAGAGCAGAAGTGACTTCCCAGCTCGGGTCTTGGCATAGAGTCCCAGTTCACGAGTGAAACTGGGAGTAAATCCAGTTTCCTAGGAGTGGGGCAGATTCAGGAAACCTTCATAAATTAGGATCAGGTGAAGGCTGGCCAAGAAGTGCCTTAGGTCAAAGACACTGATTCCCTTAGAGCCCTTTTCCAAAAACTTCTGCCCTAGACACTAGGGATCACTGAGCTTCCTGGTGGTTACAAACAGCGCCAGAGTAGGAAAGAGACTGAGAACTCTCCAGGGCCTGGTAGCAACAACCACCACCAGGAGCATGGTGGAAGTCACGCTCCTAGGGTATGCAGAGTTCTCTGGACTAGGGGTGACACTTGTTTTAAGAACACAGACTCTGGAGGTGCTCAAGGTTCTTTCCAGCAAATCAAGGAATAATCATCTTATTCCTGCCCAACCTGAGCCCTAAGAAACAATGTATTCAGGGGCCACTTGGGTGCTTCATGCCGTTGGAGAGTCAGTTGAAGGAGTTTCAGCCCCAGAACACTTTGTCTCCCCAGGGAGTCTGAAGAAGTGCAGCCCACTGCTTTCCAGACTTGGCAGAGGCCTCAAAGAATGCAGCTAGTGCTATTCTTAACAGCAATCTCCAGCATCCCCTAGAACAAAGGGCCGCTTACTGTTTGTATGTCTCTCCTCCTCACCTTTAGCAATAGGGTCCAGCCTTGATCTGCTATGGAAAGACAGGTGTTTTCCTTCCCGTAGGACTCTGGACATATTTTAAGGTATGTCCCAAAGAGCTGTTCTCAGTGTGGGACCCCAGCTCTCCTCCTTTAAAGAATGAGCACTTTGGAGTGACCCCAGTGACCTATGTGTTAGCCAGCCCTCCAGGTAAATCAGTGCTAAACCATTCTCCTTGAATAGCAGGAGATCTTAGATCAAAGGTCCATTGGTTGGACGAGATCCTCAAGGTAAGATCTGTAAATAGTGGGGTTGTGAGTGTTATCTCCTGGCGCCAGACATTCTACCTCGGCCTCGCTGTTATTCAGTCTTCACACAAGCTGTCACAACCGGGAAGGACCAACCCTTCAGCAGGTATTTCTTCTGCCCAGGGTCAAGACTTCTTCAACTTGCCATTTGCATTGCTTGTGGAATGTAAACTCGTCCCCCATCTCCTGTCCTTGAGTGCTCCTTCTTGGGGCCAGCAACTCACCTGGTTATTCAGCAGGAAAGCCCCATACAGAAGCATTGCAGACTCCCCCAGACCTAAGTCCTCTCCCCAATACTCTTCTTGTCCCCAACCTCCCAACAGGATTCTGTTTCCACCTCTGCCCCCCCCATCCTCTACAAGAAGGTGAGGGACCAGCCTAGACACCTCTATGACATAGGGAGAGAAGAGAGAGATGAATTTTATTTATTTATTTATTTTACATGAGTACACTGTCACTATCTTCAGACACACCAAAAGAGGGCATTGGATCCCATTACCGGTGGTTGTGAGCCACCATGTGGTTGCTGGGAATTGAACTCGGGATCTCTGGAAGAGCAGTCAGAGCTCTTAACTGCAGAGCCATCTCTCCAGCCCCAAGCAGGATGGACTTATTTCCTGGACTCTTAATCTACTTCCAAATTCCCTTCAATATAAACTGTGTGTTAATGGTTTCATTGCCTCTGTTATTTGTCTAAAGGGGCCACACAGGCTACGTACACCTCCCCTCAGTCTACAATACAAAATGCTCACACAGAAGAAATAATGCTGTAAGACCAGTTCGGGAGCCATTTCTTCCAAATCTCTCTTCCTCCTTTCCTGAATCTACTTCATTCCTCTCTTGTAGCCCCAGGATAAGCTACCGGTCCTTGAGCAATCCCTAGATTCTAACCTCTTGCCTGCCAAGTTACACCTGCTGCTGGATGGGCAGCCTCACTCTCACCCCGTGACACAGAAGCTCAAGGAAAGGACACAGCACACCAACCATCCCGAGAGCGAGCTTTCCAGGGACACTGGTTTAAACTAGCATCTCCCCAAAGACCTTATCAGTTAGCAAGGGGCGGGGGGGGGGGTGCTGAAGCTTCGAATATGAGCTTTTAAAACAGTGTTGTCTCAGAGGATAAAAGGCTTGCCTGGCAAGCTAGCGACCTGAGTTTGGTCTTTAGTACCCGTGTAAATGTAGGAAAGCCGGCTCCACAAAGCTATTCTCTGATATAATACACATACCACGTCATGGGTGCCCACACACATTTACACACATGTGCATACACACATAATAAATAATTTCTAAAACTCAATCGACTTGTGTAATTCTTAAGATGAAGTCTGTTTGAAACCGAGGTCTAAGATAAAAGGATGAAAACAGCCCATTTTCACCTTCACTGGGACATTTGGGGGCAGTCATTGTTAAGTTCTCTGTAACTTATTGTTACCGAATGTGTGTCTGTGTGTGTGTGTGTGTGTGTATGCGCGCTCACGTGTTGTCTGCTCAGAGGGCATCATTCAGAATTCAGTTCTCTCCTTTTACCTTTGTGGGTTCAGAGGATAAAAACTCAAGTCACCAGGCGTGGTGGCTGAGCCATCTCCGGGGGGGCCCATCTTCAAATGCTTTTGTTGAAAGGAATTTATGGTATCTGGGAGTAGAGCCAAGACCACCCCCAACCCATTCTTAAATTCCAACAGGTTAGAAGGGGCTAATGAACATTTCTCTTGCTGATACCCGCTCCCTGAGAGCAAGGAAGGATTGTTTAACACGGTGGGTTGGGGGTTGAGGGGGTGGGGGATGATTACCAGTTAAACCCTAGGATTAAAATTGGAGAGCTGAACTCTTAGTTCCAGGTGAGTGGCGGCTAGTCAGATGACACAGCTGCTTCCGTCTCCAGGTGAAGCCACAATATCCCAGTATCGGGAGGTGTCACGTGATCTGCCTTTCAGATCTGTATAACTCAGTAGGGCCGAGCACCCTTCAAGGTCAGGCACCCCACCCGGACAAGTACTTCACAAGGCCAAGTACTGCACTGGGGACCAGTTGTGGGAGAACAGGCACCCCACCCACCATCCATCCATCCACGTGACTTGGATAAGGGCTCAATTAATTAACACGACCCAGACAACGGCCGTTTTCCTCAAACCATCAGATTCAGTATTTATCAAAAAGAAAGAAAGAAAGAAAGAAAGAAAGAAGGAAAGAAAGAAAGAAAGAAAGAAAGAAAGAAAGAAAGAAAGAAAGAAAGAAAG